CTTCAGCTTCATATCACTGAAGAATTAGGGGTGGGTGATTAATAAATAATTGTTGTATCCCCCTCTTTGAAGGCCTATGATTCCCTAAATTTAACTAAAGCCCAGCAGTGAGGTTGCTGAACTTTACCCTCCTCTGCTATCACTGCAGACGGGCAGTAATGTTCTTTTTTATTTGAGGGTCCCATTTCATAGGGGAAGTCTTTAACCACTACCTGCTGTAACTCAGTTCCAGGGGGCAAGATGACGCTTGAAAACAAGGGGTAGGGGTAAAAATAAGAAATGGGATTGGGCCAAAAAGGGGGGTAATTATTAATTGAAAACAAGACCTTTTTGTTGACTAAGAAAATCCCTTGTTGGGACAGTCCCACAAAGACAGAATGCCGCATACCGAGCAAACACACACACAGTTCACCTTCACTAATTGCTGAAGTGCTCCTTTTCCGGTTGTGTGCTCAGAAATAGGCTTTTTTTGCCAAAGTCGTTTAAAGCCAATGTCACACAAGGCCACTTGGCCCATAATTTTTATTTTTATTTTTTTGTTGCTTACTTGCAACTAAGTTGGACTTCTTTCGCTAAGCGTGTCACCTCTAAAGACTTGCTTGCCGATTCAAAATAAAAGTTCTTTCACGTGACTGTGTGTGTGTGTGTGTGTGTGTGTGCGCGCGGGTGTGTGTGCGTGTGTGTGTGTGCGCGCGTGTGCGCAATTTCCAATCAGTGGGTTGGAAACTGACACATGACTCAACTTCAGATTTGTTGACCTTAAACAGGACGCGACTCTGTGATGCGAGTGCACTGCTATGCTAATCGTTTTAACAGGGAAATGCTGGAGGAAACATCTCCCATCATCCAGTCATCTTTGTTCTGTTCGGTGCAGGGTCACAGAGTACTGCAGTTAGCATCTGAAATCAGGAATTACGTTTGTTTGGATGGTGTGATTCAGATGGTTTTCATACTTGACGTTTCTGTAACCCACACTACAAGCATGGGTGCATGAAGCCACTGTATCAGTAAGCCATGGTCTGCTGCTAACAGTGATCGTGTTAAATATAGTGAGATAATTAGTCTCCTAAGGAGCTTCACTCAGTAGGGAGGCAAGTTTGCTTATAAGATTGTATTTTCAGTATTGAGATCTGACAACATCTTGTTTTTCTATGGAGTCCTGCTGGTGACATCCCATATAAATAAAAATAATGCGTAGCCACGCATTATTAACGCGTGGGAATGAGATCATATTGCGTGGCTATGACTTAGTAAGGAGTGGGAATGACTTAATTAAGTCGTGGCCACGACTTGGTAAGGTGTGGGAACGAGTTTCAAATGCATGGCCACAACTTAGTAAGGCGTGGGTACAATATCCTAATGCATGGCCACGACCTAGTAAGGCATGGGAATGACTTAATTAAGTTGTGGCCATGACTTAGTAAGGAGTGGGAATGAGATCACATGTTAGGATCTCGTTCCCAGGCCTTACTAGGTCGTGGCCACACATTAGGAACTTCTTTCCATGCCTTACTAAGTCATGGCCACGCATTATTGTTATTTATACAGGATGTCACCAGCAGGGCTCCGTATTTTGAATGCGGTTGTGACTAATTCAGATTGAGCTTTCCTGCTACCCAGTATGTTGAAGGGCGAGATCCTCTATGTTGTGTGTTAGTGTCTGACTGATATTATGTTTTTAAGGGGCTAAAGATTCCAATAGCAGATAATATCGGCCAATATAATCATTACATAAACGAACAACGCAATTTTAGCATGACGGTGAAAACATTAAGTCTGTTAAATAACACACATATCTTCTATTGTAAATTCTTTAAAGTAGCCTTTCCCATTGCATTGACGCCCCTTTACACACTTTTGGCATTCTTTCAAGCCAACTCAGATGTTTTCTCCAACAGGACTGAAGATGCACGTTTGCTCAACACTTTTTGCCAATAAAAATGACTCGTTTGAGAGTCTGAAAACAAATATTGGAATGAAATTTATACATAGTAGGAGTGGGAGAAAAGGATCAGTACATTGTATTGCAATATTTATACATCAAATTTACTCCTACCACAGATGTAGGTGGTCAGCTGAGGCATGTTTGGTGTCCACATTTTGCTTCTTTGGTTTAGAACTGGCACTATGAGGCTAATGTTGCTAGCAAACACTAGAATTCAATAGTCACCCAAATAGCCCAATTAAATTTCCATAAAAAAACGTCCCCACAACTTGTCTCAACAGCTTAAACCACATTCAGGTCTATAAACTATAAAATTGAAGAAAATGTCATTGCTTTGGGCAGCCATTTCAGACAACACCAGCACGGTTTTAAAGTAAACAAGCAAAATATGGACTCCAAACATGACTTGGCTGATTGACCACATTTGCAGATTGTTTTTTGTAGAACCATTCTTTAAGCCCATTGATAGACTAATGAAATACCAATAAAATGTTCTCTTAGTCAATTTTGCAAGTGTATTTTTAATTTCATTTCATTTTGTATTTTTCATTTTTAATTAAAATGATCAAAGTGAGGTTAACATCATATAAACTTTATTATATATATTAGAGAACATTTTCTTTTGAAGGCATAATGTAAAGTTAGAAATGTCATATTTGCCATACTTAGCATATCACAAATTTTTACAAGTTGCAGTAGAATCATATTGTTGGGCCTGTGTTGCATAACCGCTAGTACATAGACATCAACTTCACTTCATTTGTCTCAGAAACTAATTTCAGGCATTTAAGCATAAGCTTGTTGATCAAAATGTCTGTAATATTCTGAAGAACATGCATTCAATCAGCTGTGTCCAAACATTTGACCAGTACTAGGCCATGAGACATGGTGGACAGATGGGTGAAAGTAAGTGCAGAAGAATGTCGGAGGGAGGGAGGGATTTGGAGAGAGGGATGCACTGAGAGAGGATGAGAGAAGTGGAATTACTCTCGTCCGCAGGCCCCCAGGCCCCAGCTCTCTGTGCTGTCCGTGGCCCGTTTGATGTTTAATTAAAGTTTAGATTGGGTATCAAACGTGGCCTGACCTGCCGCGGGTGGGTGAGCGGGGTTTGGAATTGAAAGGTGAGAGAGTGACCTGTCTCTGATCCACTGGCAGAAAGGGCAGGATTAGGCTCTATCTGCATGGAGCACACCGCTGGCCCCAGAGCAGGCCGGCTGAGCTCGGCCCGCCTGATTGAAGCCATGTGCATGTGTGCTGAGTCTGATCAGTGGTTTGCACAGTATTTTTTAACAGGCACCACCTCGGCCCTGTCCTCATATGGCAAGCAAATGGCTTTTTAGCAGTTATTGATATTGTCTTTAGTTACCTATACTAGTCTTCAAAAGTTTGGAATCACTGAATGTGTTTACATGCACTTAATAATCCGATAGCTGCAGAAAATCAGATTTTGTCAATAATAAGATCAACGCATTTACTTGCACCTCAGTAATCAGATAATGTGAAACTCCAGGTCTACATGAGTCAGGCAGTAATCTGATTTCTGCTTTGCAACCAGCCAATAAACTCGCAGAAGTCGTCGCAATGTAAACGTAATGTAAAACTCAAACTTTTTTAAAAAACATCACACCACTTCACCTGAAAATATGAAGAAGATGAAGAATATTTAAATCCTTCATTTCGTCAAACGTGTTTGGTTTCAGCTCCAAAAGTGTTTTGCTGCCATCTCGCAGCAACGCTGCTTGCTTATTTCTGGTACCGCCGTCTGTTTTCGCACATGTGCAGACTGAGAAATCCGAAAGAAATCAGAGTAAGAGTTCACATGCACTGAGAAATCTGATTACTGAGCTAAAATCCAGCTCTCTTTATCAGATTTCTTAATCGGATTTCTAGACATTACTCCAATCTAAGAAATCAGAGTATGCTGTTTACATGACCATTTGAATAATCAGATAAATGCAGAAATCCAATTTTATGATCAGATTATTAAGTGCAATCAAATGCACTGGAATAGGAAACAACCTTCCCCAAACTGTTGCCACAAAGTTGGCAAGCCCTGAAAATCAGCCCCAGCCCATTATTCCACCTCAACCAAACTTGCTCCTGGCACCATGCATTCTAGTAGGTATTCTCCTGGTATCCACCTAAATCAGAATTGTCAGTCAGACTGAAGCATGATTCATCACTCCAGAGAACATGTTTCCACTGCTCCAGAGTCTCGTGACAGCATGCCTTACACCACTGTGTTCAGTGCTTTCCATTGCACATAGTAATCTTAGGCTCGTGTTCAGCTGCTTAGCCATGGAAACCCATTTCATCAGACTACCGATCCACAGTTCTGGTGCTAATGTTGAGTGATGCAACAGGCTATATTTATGTGCTATGCATTTCAGCACTCGGCGGCCCCACTCCGTGAGTTTGCCTGGCCTAGTGCTTTATGGCTGAGCTGTTGTTGCTCCCATATACACTTTCAATTCACAATAGTAGCACTTACAGTTGATCAGGGCAGATCAAGCAGGGCAGAAGTTTCCCAAACTGATAAACTGGCATCCTGTGTCATTGCCACGTTTAAAGTCAGTGAGCTTCTACAGCTAACGTTTGTCTATAGAGACTGCATGGCTGTGTGCTTGATTTTATATATCTGTTAGCAATGGGTGTGGCTGTAAAACCTGAACTCAATTATTAGGAGGGGTGTCTATAATCTTTTGGTTATGTAGTGTAGCTAATCACCCAGTCTGGCCAGTTTGTACTTCAGTAGTTGCTTACAAAGGGCAAGAAGACAATTAATTGCTCTCCACAGTTTTAAGTGCCTGTTATTTAAATTTAAATGGCTGTTAATTGTCAGCTAATATTTCATGATCATCGTAAGCCTAGTTAAAGCCTGACTGTCTGCCTTCTTGTTCACTAAATTGCTGTATTTTCTCTCTGACTGCTCATGGTTCAGCCTAATGAATACCTGAACAATGACTTCAGTGTTTGAATACAGCCACCTGCACCAATATGTGCACTTGTTACTAATTTGTCTAATCATTTTCTCTCCCTCTCTCTCTCTCTACAGTGTGAGGAGGAGTGTGTGTCCCATGTTGCACTAGGAGTGTGTGTGTGTGTGTGAGATGCTGGCCTGTTTGCCAGGGCCAGGTGACCTCTCCCTCCAGCTTCTTCCCCACTCGCAGATGAACACTGGACTTCAGAAATGTGAGTACCACTTCGTACGCACACGCTACATTCAAAGCCTCAGTAATCGTCTTTGCACTAAATTGCGCAGACTGATGGCGGCCTACTCAGCCTGCGTCTCAATAAAAATAAGTGTACCATGAAAAAAGCCAGTGATGAAAATTAGCTCATGAATATATCGCTGCTGTTGGAACAAGACCACGTATATACAAAATGAGAACTTGACAGGAGAAGGAAAAAACATACTTTTAATGCAAGTCAATGGAACCAGACGTCATCATGAACTTTACCCATAATGTAAAGGAAAACAGGCATTTTGAAATTTTGTCAAAAACAAAAAAAAGACAAACATGGAGATATGAGGTTTTGTTCCGACAACAGTGATATAATGACTGCACAGAGAGCTGTTATGCGCAAGAAACTGAGAAAACATCACCCAGCTAAGTATGTGTGTTGCTGTACCTCACCAAAAATGCTATCTATTAGTGTCATTGTCTTTGTTGCCTGTTGCTTAAAAAAGAAACTGGCTAATAAAAATCATCTGATTCAGCTGTAAAGGAATCAGTATTGGCAATAAAAAATTATGAACGGTGCATAGAGTGCACTTGTATATTTCACTAGCTGTTATAATAACTGTGAGAAATATGACAGTCATCATATCTGAGGTAACTTGACCGGATCTGATTGTAAAACATCATTCATATTAGCTATCTATATCCTGTGTGCTGAGATACTAACAACTTCAGGATTGGCAGGGAACGGGATCCAAAAAGTGAACATCTGAAAAATGGTGGTCTGAACATACAAAGTCCACCTTTAACCTTCAGAAGAGCGAAAACATCCTTTTTAGCCGGACCGCTTGGCCACTGCAACATCACCGTCTGTTTGTATTGTTTTCATGAACAATGAATGTGGAAATGAATGAATCGCTGCTATAAAGAGGAAGCAGTTGTCTCCCATTATCACGTAATCATAGATAGCTGGTTATACAGATAAGATTGAAGTACTACCTTCTCTCTATCACCTGAGAGTCTGGTGGGTTTTGTCGTATGACTTGGCCAAGAACTGCCTTCTATGATAAGAAGAACAACTATTGGGATAAAAATCTTTGTATATTGTGTGTCTGCTTGTGTTGTCATGCTCTTATGTTATGTTGAGCCTGTCTGTTTCACCTGGCTGCTAATCAGATGTTGTTTTTTTTAGGGACATTAAAGGTGTTGAACTGAATTGAAGAATGGAAATTGACCAGAAACTGATGTTGTTTTAGCATGAATAACTTCATTAAGTACACCTCCTTGTTTCTACGCTCACTGTCCATTTTATCAGCTCCGCTTACTATATAGGTGCACTTTGTAGTTCTACAATTACAGACTGTAGTCCGTCTGTTTCTCTGCATACTTTGGTGGCCCCCTTTCACCCTGTTCTTCATTGGTCAGGACCCCCACTGGACCACCACAGAGCAGGTATTATTTGGGTGGTGGATCATTCTCAGCACTGCAGTGACACTTATGTGGTGGTGGTGTGTTAGTGTGTGTTGCGCTGGTACGAGTGGATCCGACACTGCAGTGCTGCTGGAGTTTTTAACCAAGCAAGACTTTCCTAGTTTGTGGTTTATTTTCCTAGCAAAACAGTAAATCTGCATCAATAAAATATTTTATACAGATGTTAAAGTATGCAATACACACATAAACTAGCACAGGAAAACATAATAAAATAAGCGCAGGACAATAAACACCAAGATGGAGCAAATGTGCAGTAGGGCTGTTATGACTGCTCAGTTAAACTTGAGTTTAATCATTGATTCAAGTTCAGCTTCTCAAAGAATCAGCAGTAATATAGTTTGCAGCTTTTATGATGATGATGCATTTTTGAATCTTCTTCAGCTCTTACAGTAAGACAAAGAGCCTGGACACACATTATAAATATTTTTTTTTATTTATAAACAAAAATTATTTTTATTGATACTTTTTTTTTGGAATTTCCCCAATTTTCTCCCCAGTTTAGTCCACCCACTAGTTAGGACTCCCCCAATCACACGATACCAGCAGCACTAGGAGGGTGAAGGCTAGCACAGGCTTCCTCCGAGACCTGTGCAGCACCACCACGGCAGCTAACAGACGCCTACGCTGACTAGCATTGCACTGAGTGATGGGGGGAGAAGGAGGGGCCATCCCAACGCCCGACCACGGATGGTTGTAGCATCACTAGGGATCGAGCTCACGATCTCCTGATAATAGGGCCAACGCTTAGACGGTTGCGCCACACGGCTTTCTTGTTCATCTTTTTTCATAAAGTATGTTCTATTTTTGTTATTGTAGATTTATTACTGTTCTTGTAGATTTTTAGTGCTTTTATTGCTTTTATTTTGAAGTCAAAATAATTGAGAGATTACTTGAGTGTTAGCATCAATATTGACAGTGACAGCCCGGCTTATCAGCAGTGACTATACTGTTATAATCACCGGTGTGTTTGTGCCTACTCAGTACAGGAGAAGCTCTGTTCTTCACAGCTTTATGAATTGAGATGTCCTCCAATAAGAGGCTGATTTGTGGCTCTCTGCACTCTAACGTCAGTACAGATATCTCATATTGGTCATGCAGGAGCAACATGCAGTCAGATAAGAGTGGAGGAAGTAAATTAAGGACAGCGGCCTGCCTTCCACACCTGTGTGACCGCAGTGGCCCTGACAAAAAAGCCTCAGGTTTATCTGTGCCAGTGTGAATGACACCCCTGAGTGACAGCCAATGCCCAATAAGCAGTGCTTTTCACCACGCACCTGTCAGCCTCGCCCACACACACACACACACACACACACACACACACACACACACACACACACACTGGTGAGAAACCCTGCTGCCCATCCAGCCTGTCCTTTTCAATGATGTAGAGCGCTCGGTGAAATTAGGCGCCGTTGTTCGGAGGCACAGCAGGAGAGCAGCAACCATCAACTCCAACCTCCATCACCTCCTCTCACACAGAGACACAGAGCACCTGCTGCTCCTGCACCGCCATTCAGCCTGCACTCTCTTTGTCTATCTCAATCTCTCTCTCTCTTTCTCTCTCTTTATCTATTTCTATTTCTATCTCAGGCCCTTTCTCTCTCTCTCTCTCTCTCTCTCTCTCTCTCAATAACTGCTTTATTGGCATGACAAATATGCTGCATTTGTATTGCCAAAGGTTGCCAGAGATTTTTAAAAATAAATCAGCAATTTAAGGGGAACATATTAGATTCTAGGAATTAAAAAAAAAATGATCTTAACATGTTAAACAATGCAAAATTGCTAAGTTGTAGAGCTGTAATTTTAAAAAGACAAATTTTTTCTCTCTCTCTCTTTCTGGCTCTCTCTGTCTCTTCCTCTCTTTATCTATCTCCATCTCTCCTTCTCTACGTCCATCTCTCTCTGTCTCTCTTTCTCTCCCACCCTCTCTCTCTCTCTCTGTTTCAGTTCAGTAAGCTTTATTGGCATGACCAGATTTAGATACAGTATTGACAAAACATCATCCAAACGCAGGATTAAACATTTGAAACATTTAACAATTTAAGAAGTCCCAGTTTATGGGAAGAGAGAACAAAAATAATAAAGATAGTAATCACATCAGTATAATAATACATAAAAAATAAATAAATAAATAAATAAAATAGACAAAAATCAAGAATTAATGATAATAATAATAGATCAAGTAATAATAAAGAACAGATAAACGTAGTAGTTTCAGGATACATGAGTATGTAAAGGTGTTTACGAACAGGGCAATCAATTATCTTCTGTGTGTGAGTGTATGTTGGTGTGTGTGTGTGTTTGGTGCATATTGTGGCAGGCAGATACATATCATGCTGGTCTCTCTCTTCTCTCCTAACAGGATGGGTAGTATGTCATTTTCACAGAAACGGTTAAATTGGGGGTGAATCTGTCTACATTTTATAAAGAATGTTTTGCGTAGTTTGTATTTGTGCAGCTCTGTCTCTACAGTGTTGTTGTTGTTTCTCTCTCTCTCTCTCTCTCTCTCTCTCTCGCTCTCTGTGGTTCATATCTTTCTTGCTTGGGCCACATTTTATGTTTCATTTTAGTAACAATTACAAATTTTTCAGGAGATCTTTCTCAGGATGTTAGATACAGGATAATCTACTTGCATAAGGAAGAGAAAAGACAAAGGAAAATACTGGATTTAATGATTTAAAGCTACAGAGAAAATGGGTCTCCTAACAAATCGGCAGAACTGCAAACAAAGAAGCTGCTGGTGTTCTCAGCAACAGTGGACTGACCACCCCAGAGTCCAGACCCCAACATCACTGAATGTGTTTGGGATTAATTGGATTGTGAGAAGTAGAAAATGCAACCAACTTTTAAGACTGAACTTTGGAGGTGTGGAAGAATAACCTCACAGGTTTCTTAAAAAAAAAGTGAAAGTGAGTCTCCTGAAAAGAGTGGAAACTGTAATGAAGGCAAAGAGTGTTTTTTTTTTTTATGAGGCTGAAAAATGAATAACTTAATGGCCATTTTCACTTTTAATTTAATGAGTGGTGATCTCTGACTTTTCCACTGTACATCTGTTTCTCTCTCTCTCTCTCTCTCTCCGTCTGTCCTTTCAATGGTGGACAAATGTGGGCGGTCAGTGTGTTGTCAGACGTGACGTGCCACAGGATTGGCAGGAGAGCTATTAAGTGAGGAAATGTCAGGGCCATTTTGTTTGGTCAACAGCCAGAGAGAGAAGGAGAGAGACAGGAGGAGAGAGGGAGGGAGAGAGTGGTGCTGTGCTGGATAAAGAGAGGAAAAGCTAAAGTGCTGCTTCATCAGTGCAGAGATGAGCCCTGCAGCTACATTCATAGTTCGAGCTCCAGTTGTGCCATGCGCCGCCATCCATTTGGACCCAGAACTGCTGTGTTAATAGCTCACAAAGGAAACCTTCCTCTCCTCTCTCTCTCTCTCTCTCTTCCACTTTCTCTCTCTCTCTCTCTATCTCTCTCTCTCTCTCTCTCTCTCTCTCTCTCTCTCTCTCTCTCTGTCTCTCTCTCAGTG